TGATCTATATTAAGTATATAAAATAGCTATAAAATTGAATCTTAAAGTATAAAGCTCAAATAGCTTATAAAATACTATATAAAATAATAATCTTTTTATTTTTAAGTATTTTATATAGCTATTTATAAGACTTAGAAATCGCTAGGTTTTAGTGTAAAAAGGGCGAATTATCGAAACTTTCGCACGTAACTGTAACTAAACTACCTGCCTAGTCAATGCGTAGTAAACCCAAGGGTATTACTGTGACTAGCTAGGGTCTTGCTCGGTCCGGGTGGGCCGGCTGATACACGAGGTTGGTGCCTCAGGCACCATCAACAGACCCTAACGATGTGAGGTAAATCAACCGAATCTGGCAATTGAGGATTTAATACAGAGCACTACCGACGAAGTCTCCGGATGGAATGCTTAGGCACTGATAAATTAAAACATGCTGTTAGGAGAAGCAGTCGTCTTAGGCGGATTATCAAGCAAAGAAGCTATAGGTAACATAGACCAAGGTGATAAAATCTGAGGCCAAGCAATTGACGCTAAGCACTCAGCTGCCTGATTTACTTTACTGGCACCCGCTGACCAGCGCCGCTTTTCCCTGAAGAGGAATAGGCCTATGGGCCGCCCAGGGGCGTTATGCTGAAAAAGGCAGTCACCGAAAATTGTTTTATTTCCTTACTCTTACATCTGCCTATTTTAAGGCCCAGTTATCAAAACCTCGATTGAACATAAATATGCTGCTTAAGATCTCCAAATCTCTTATTCAATCGAAACCTCAGCAAACATAATTATCAGCCTACCATGACTCACACCTGGGATCCAAAGCCGGCACCACTTACCGTTGCCGAAGAAGGGCTACTGGCTACGAGCGAGGCGGTGTCTAAGCTCAGTCAATCGCAATTGGACTCATTCAATGACTGGGTAGGAACTGAGAAGCCTGGAGTACTCGAGGCAAAGTCTTGGCTTACAAAACGATACGGTCTCCGCAAAAACACCTTCTCCTACTCAGAGCTAGTTCTACTGTTGAAGCGGGCCAAATTCCTATCCAGTAGTGAGGGAAATAGCGGAGTAAGAACTACCATTCCATCTCAAGAGTCTATGAGTTAAATCAAAAGTTATAGGACAAGGTCGGCTTTATCACACGAAAACCAGGCCTCGGCCTGCCTCTTGGCCACATGCCTGACCAAGAGGACCGTTTCCCTCTGCTGTTCATGGAAGATAATTACAGTAATGGCTGGCGAGCTGCCACTTTACTTATCCGCGAGAGTTGTATGCTCAAGCTTATCAATGAGCTCTCTGACAAGCCGCAGTGGTGGCGTAAAGTGAAAGACGAAGCCATCTCCAGCAAGTGGAAGAAAGAAGCACTAGAAATGGACTGGACTTCTTATCGAAAGCATGCTGACTTTACTTCCGCTATGGCTGATGCGGTCAGTCTAAGCTAAACCCTAATGTTCTTGATGAGATGATACTAATACTTGAACAGTGCATCAGTGAGCTGCGAAACAAAGCAGAGCTATATGAGAAGACTGGTTTAATGCCTATTTACGACTACACAACCACAGTTATTAAATCGGATAGTCTACTGACATCTGACCTGGCCAAGGCTCTTCAGGAGGGCGTGAAGCCGTTGGAAGATGTCCCCACAGAGCTGAAAGATTGGCATCCCAACTCCAAAGAGCAAGTCCTGGATCTTGTGCATCCTTCGCTATGGCCATTGATGTATGGTCGCTCCAGGGTCCTCAATGACAGAGTCATCGACGTCGGCAATGCCCTTCCTTCCTGTGGCACCGGCGTAGTACTACGCGCACCGGGGCCTGAGCAGACGACGCACATCATCGGAGAAGGTGGCTTCTTTGAGGAAGAGGTCATGGTGCTATCAAACAAGTTCCAGTGGTTGCCATGCGATGTTGACCTTGACCCTGAGACAGGCAAAGCCAAGATTGCGAGCTACATCAACAATCTCCATCCACAAGAACATGCCCGTCTCTATCCCATTATTGAAAGGTTCATCGAGATATCACTCCCAGCTTGGGACATCATCTACTACTGGGAAGAAACCTTTTCGGTGCAGCGCCTCACAACAACTGAAGCTGAATATGATGAGTGCCCCTGCCCTGATCTCTGTCATGTCGACGACGGCTATAACTGCGCTCCATGGAGACGTCCTACTGATGAGGACGAAGAGCCTAGGTACGACGTCGAGTCGGTGGAAGCAATGCTGGCAGATAATCGTAAGCCAGATAAATACCAATTAGGTGAAGAGAAGGCCGAGGATTATAGGACGAATCCGGTACGCAGAAATTTGGATGACGCTTGGTTTGCATCAACCCACTCTGCCAAGCTCCCCGATGCCGACCCAAGCGCAAAGGACTATATAAAGATTCAAGCTTCAGATTTGAAAGCAGACGGGTTCTTCAACAGTAGCAGTCAGATCCAGGTCATTGTCAAGCTTGCCAACATTCACCTGACGCCTGAGAAGCCCGTCTATAATGGTGGTTCGTGGCATACAGAAGGCTTGCTAAATGAGCATATTGTCAGCACGGCTCTGTACTACTATGATAGTGAGAATATCACTGATTGCACTCTGGATTTCCGGACCTGCGCCGATAAGGAAGACCTGGCTGGTGAGATATCCTACGAGCAACACCGGCACGATCCAATTGAGCGGACTTTCGGTATTACTCAGGGAGGGAGCATCTTTCAGGATGTTGGTTCTGTCCTGACCAAAGCTGGAAGGGCAATATTCTTCCCCAATGTTTTGCAGCATCATGTTTCGCAGTTCAGACTCGCCGATCCCACCAAACCCGGTCACAGAAAGATCCTTGCACTATTCCTTGTTGACCCGGCGATACCCATCATTAGCACTTCCAACGTACCTCCGCAGCAAAAGCATTGGTGGACAAGTCATTCAGGTTTTGACTCTGGATGTGGACTTATGCCCCCAGAGTTAATCAAAAAGGTGGTGGATTATTCGGAGTGGCCCATTGACCTGGAAGAAGCCAAAAAGGTACGCTTGGACTTGATGAAGGAGCGGACATCATTTAAAGCAGAGGAGGAATCGAGATTTGAGAGGATGGAATGGAATTTCTGCGAGCATTGATTCTGTTGTTGGGTTGGAGTAGGGTAGGTGGTTTTCATAACTCGCTTATGCTAGCATAACCTTTACACCTTGGGCGCCTGAATTATGCTCGATGCTTGCATAAATAAGCTGTGACAAGGTCGGAGAGTTAAATAACGGTAGACCTGCTATGAAGGTTAAAAGAAAAACACTTTGGTAATGTACTCTCTGTGGTCAGGTGCTTTGAGGTATAAATTTTGGCTGAAAAGTTAGATTTCCTCGTGACCATCTCGATTGACGTATCAATCAGGGCTTGACTACTGCTCTTCCGACAACTTGTTTTATGCCTGATCTACATTTTCGTTTAGGGGCATACACTTTATGCACCACGATTACCCATGACCCTAGTATCGCTGGATTGATTTAAGCTATTTATGGTCAAGCTTGCATCAAATGGGCCGATCGCAGGCTCTCGCTCAGCATCGGTCGCTACCAAATCCAGGCAAAGGCGCAGTCGACTGCGCCCCACTAGGCTGAGAGCTCTCCCTGGAATAAAATCAGAGACAAACCAGCATCTCGATGATATTTGCTATCATCTCATAGCCCACAAAATGCCTCAGACAAGTCTTTCCATGTCCTCAGCACTGGGCATCCGCCTGGAAGGAAATCAACGTTCATATTCTCCAGGTGACACAATTATTGGCTGTGTTTACCGACAAAGCCCTGTCGTGAGTCCAGACTCATCAGTCACCATCGCCTTATCTGGGAGAGCCAAATCCAAGATAGTCATCCATCGCGCAAGCACAAACAGCACAGCTAGTTACCGAGGCCGTTTCAATCTCATCCCCGAGTCTGTTTGCTCCCAAAAGATCTTCCAAGGCCCGCTCCATATTGAAAGCGGTGGCGATGAGCAGACATGGCCGTTTGCAATTACGCTGCCAAAACATGTTGACCCGAAATACTTGCAAGGCGGGCGCCAAGACCAGAGTTTTCTATCTCTTGGCGCAACAGATCATGTTCTACCATCGACCTATTCACTTCGCTCTGTTGGAGAGACTGAAGGATTTGTCGAGTACTCTGTGAAAGCTACCTTGAGGGTCACCGGAAAAGGTCATATTAATATGACTGAAGCAGTCCTTCCGTTTAACGTCATAAATCTCAGTCCTGACCCTCCCATAGCGGACTTTGGCCTCAAAGGTTCACGGAGCCGTCAGACCATGTCGAGTTATCGCCTTGTCCCCGGTATGGAAGATGTCAAGTTATCATTTTCCCAAAAGATGAAGCAGTCTTTCAGCACTTCAAGTGTGCCAGAATTCGTCTACAATCTCCTTGTTGACGTCCCAACCGTCATCCAACTTGAAAACCCAACTCCGATCCCGTTCAAGTTACGTGTCGTTCCAGATTTGAATGCGACAAGCGAAATCATCAAAGAAATCCCACAAAAAGTCAAATTGTCATCAGTTTCTATGCGGATCGTCAGCAGCACCGAGGTCATATGCGAAGGAACTCTGTTTAGTCAAACAAATGAAAAACGTGAGGAGATTGACCTGCGTCTTGAGAGTGCCATGAGCAGAATTCAGGGCGATATCTATATCCCCTGTACAGATGAGGGCCCCCCACTCGATATTGGAGCCCTACTTGGTTTGCGTCTTGAACAATTACGACCCGGTTCTCCCCATCGGCCAAGTAGCTTGACGAAACTCAACCCTACCTTTACCACATACAACATTCGTCTTTCGCATAGGCTGACTTGGAAGGTCATAGGCGAGATAGCGGGAGAGCGCTTTAGCGCGTTGGGTGCAGTCCAATTAAAGATCTTGATGCCAAGTGACGAGCGTGGGCGGCTGGGTGAAAAGAACTCAGTTCAAAGGACTGAAACTGAAGAGTCATTTGACGGTGCGCCAGGTCCGTCTCAATTGCAAAGGAACGAATCGTGGATACAGCCTCCAGACGAAGATGATGCACCGCCAAGCTTTAATGAAGTAGTTGAGGAAGGCAAGGGAGCTAGCGTAGCAGAGAAGCCCCATGAATAGGTGGATATGTTGTTAGGATGTTGATTTAATGTTATGTAATAATGAATTGAATATTTGTTGGTCTGCTCCTTGAGTCATTGCTTACTACCTAAGCTAGGGGAGGAAAGAAAATTCATGACCTCGATCCTTAATGACAAAAAGACTTGGAGAATCTAGTATAAGTTCAAGCTACAATTTGCTGGGTTATTTTGACACTATATATCAAGGTCTGATGTTGTCTTGCTCCTCGAGCCCAAGCTCAGCTTCCATTTCTTATTACTGAATATTTCCATAACCTCTTCGTGCCTATTAGGTAAGATTATATGGATAGGTAGCTGCTTTTCTTTCTGGATCCCTTCGCCATCACTGTCCCATGACAAAGTCAGAACAGCCTCATTATTCTGATCCTTCTGCCAGGAAACGCGAGCCAGTATTGGCTGTTGCCAGTTACCACTCACTGGAATATCGGCCTTGAAAGCCATGAAGAGGCTCACTCGTGGCTTGAAGAGAAGTACCCTCTCGCCGTTGATCATGGCGAGCTTGAGTCCCGCCACCTCGGCGGCGAACTCATATAGAGGAATACTGCCCCATGCGTGACAATCCGATCTTTGCGTGATGTAGTCTTCCACCCAAGTTGTCAGGTTGAGTTCAAGCTGCTTTCGCCAGGGTACCCAAAAACTGAGGAATTGGGCTTCGTATGCCTCATCACCAACCTTGGATAACGCCCTCAGACTATAAAAAGCCATAGCTATAGATGCCTCTGTGAACTTGTGCGCACGCTTCTCTTCCGCTTTGGCTTGAAAAGAAACAGAGCGATTCAGAAGCTCAAAGGCTTCATTGCCAGTTATTGCGCCACAGAGAACTGCCCAAATTTGACAATACTCACTATAATGGTTGTCTGTAGCCATTGTAGCGAGACCATCCGTGAGATAGGCACCGTCGAAGCAGTGGTTTCTAACAGCTTGGATGATCAACTCGGCTTGATGGCTGTGTTCATCTGCGCGTGGTCGCTTGCCCAGGCACGACTCGAGCGAACTGAGCCTTTGTAAAGTGTATGCGAACAACTGATTCGTATAGGTCAGGAAGCCAGTATCCTTTGCGGCTGATGGAACTCCAAATAGCTTATATGAATCACTCCAGTCAACAAACTCCCAGTCGCCAGCTAACTGGGAAACGCGAAGGAGTCCGGTCTCTTTGTCAAGACGATTACCAAAGGTGTACAGAATGGCATCAACGATGGGGAACAAGCCAGCTACAAATTCTCCATTACCGAACTGCTCGTAATGGTCTGTAATCATACATATACAGAAAAGAGAGAAATGAGAAATGATCTGGGGATGGTGACAGGGAGCTCGACTTGCTGTCAGCCCTGTCTTTGGTTGAAAAGAGTTGTAGAATTGTAAGATTGCTTGGCGTGCCATCCGATCATCTCGGGAGATAACATATGTGAAGAGTGCTGAGCTTCTTGTATCCATGGCGTACTGAAGCTGCTCGTAGAATGGGCAGTCCTCGTAGCAGTCGTGCATACAATTCTTCAAAGTGCGTAAGCTCACCTCCCACAGCTTGTGAAACCACGATGTATCTTGGCTCTCAATCTCAACTGTAGGAAAGGTGGCCAATACCTTCAGGGGGTAATTTGTTTTGACAATGTTGATCCCATCAAAAATCAGGTCTGAATCTTGAGTAACATCGATGTCCATGGCAAGGTATCGAAATGTCCGGAAGTGGAAAGGGCTGAAAGTTTCATGATTGGCTTCTGCAGTAGTAAATACCCAGGCGCAGTACCTACTCAACCTTTATCTTACTAAAGTAGTAATTAATCTAGAGCTTACAGCTTTTAGCCTTGTTCTTCCGCTTCTAAGTCTTATATATTAAGTCTAGAATAACATATAACTAAGTTTTAGTAAACAGCCATAGTTAAAAGCCTTAAATTGTTTATATGTAATGTCTTGTATATATATATATATTAAGTAGTAATTAAAGAAGTAGTTAAGATAGAATTTATATATATATTAAGGGAGTATAGATAAGACACTGGTTTACAGTATATAAAGTTTTAATAAGGTGATAAGTAACTGATTATAGAGATAAAACCCTGAGGTTAAGTCTTAATGCAAGTAACAGGGCTCTTGATCCTTACTGATATATCGGGATAGCTTTCTTAAATCAAACCCTGACACTTGTATTTACGGAATTGGCGAGTTTTAACCTTGTTCTCGAACATCTCATCCAGCTCCAGATAGGTGCGGTTCTTCATCTCAGGCAGATCGAACCAGAAGATAATCCAGGCAATGACAGACAGAGCAGCAAAAATAAGGCCAGTCTTGCCACCTAGATTTCCCTCGTCCGAGTTAAATATGTAAGGAACACAAAAGTTGAAAACCCAGGACATGAAGCTATTGCAGATGAAACCGACGGCGTTGGCCTTGGCACGGAGTCGGACAGAAGAAGTTTCAGAAGCAATAATGGGATTGACTGGTCCGGAAGCAATGTTGAAAAAGACCATGACGAGGTTGATCATAACACCCATATACCATAGTGCGGCTTGAGTGGAGAAAAAGCCTGCAATACCAACGGAGAGCCAGGTTGCTGCCAGAAGTGCTGTGCAGCCCATTATGGTACGTCTGCGGCCTAAGTAATCGACGAGGAACCAGGAAATCATAATCGCAGCCAGGGACAGACCAGAGGCGATCTCAAGGACTATGATAGACTTCTCTGGAGAGAGCCCAGCGATAATCATGAAATAGGTACCGTTGGCGACAAAGGTGGTGCCATGAAACTGCTGGACAATGCTGGCAAAGATGATGATGCGCATTCGGCGAAAGTTGGGGCCCTTGAAACATTCTGACCAGGTGACGTCGGCTGCGTCAACCTGCTCTTGTTTCTCGTGCTCGAGGGTTGACTGGAGGGAGACCATGGCAGCCTCAACCTGTGAAGGCTTGTATAACAACCAAAAGACTTGCGAGCACCAGCCTCGTCGTTCTTTCGGAGAAGCCATGCCGGGGACTCGGGGACAATAAGGGTCGAGATGAAGGCCGTCCCAGCGAGTGCCCACTGGGTGGCGAAGCAGATGCGATAAGACATTCTTTGAAGGCCGTCAGGGATCTGGCTACCAGCAACGACGGCGGCGATGAGCTGGCCAAAGACGAGTTGAAACTGGAACAAAGAAAGTGAAAAACCTCGCAGCTTGACAAGGACGATTTCAGAGTTGTATGTCATCCATGTAGTGGCCATCATGCTCAGGCCCATGCCAATAATAACCTTGCCGGCCAGAAATGTACCGCGGCGATGGCCCATGGAATCGCTCAAGTCGCATGTGTAGACCACCGCGATACCAGCCATAGTGATGATAGATCCACTCATCATGGAGATCTTCCGGCCGAATCGATCAGCTACCCAGCCGACAATGACGGAACCAATCATAAACCCGATCTGCATCGAAGCATTCCACAAAGACAACCAGATAGACGGCAGAATAGGCATTCCATCTCGAAGTTCGCCGAATCTCTCCCTATTTCGGTTAGTTAGAATAGTTCTGCGGCCACCGGGATGGTTTGTACGGGGAGGACTTACAGGAAGGCTGGGAAGGCTGTGACAACGCCAACGATGATAATATCGAATCCAAAGGCCATTGGGCCTGTTGCCATGAGGATACTGAAGATGACCGACTTGTAATTCTGTTTGAGGGACTGTAGCAAGGTTAGGGAACTATCATCGTGCTCATTGACAGCCAAGGAGATGTCCCGTTTTTCCCTCTCAACCATCTCGACACTGGGCTTAGTATCTTGTTCCATTGTGTAAGTTGTTGGTAATGTATGAGTGGCTATTTCTGTCTGATAGACTGGAGAATCCGGGTAGTGGTCATGATGATGTAAATATATATGAATTATTTGAAAGCTTCAAGAAGAGACTCATTTAAAACATTCCCTCCTCCAAATCGACCAGGTTCTGTGAGATAAGTTGCTGTAGAATGCGGGGTTTGACTTTCCGCTAGACGCGATCGAAGCCCCTGGCTGCGGAGTCCGGGGTCCGGGGTTGGTCTAGCCTGGAAGAAATCGAGACTGCGCATAAATGTCGGGGCTCATCCCCGATAACTTCACTACCCCCCTCAGTCTCTCTCTACATTATCTAAACTAGTTTCGCTACATTCCCCTCCGAGTGGTACTGCAATGACAGAGGAACGAGCATCAAAGCGTACGAAGTCAGCCAATAGCATGGTTTCGTCGGGTGATGAGCTTCCACTGCCTGGTACTAGCTCCCGCACGGGGCTTGCAGACTGAGGAAGACTCGCTGCGTCGGCTTTCCCACCTGCACATGGTGTCAGCGCCGTCGCCAGTCTTGCATACGAGGCCAGAATAGCCAGACGAGCCCATGGGTGTCCTCCTCTTGACTTTACCGAAAACTAGCTAACAATTCCCTGTCATCTAGATTGCACGATTGGGGCAATCAGATACTTAGTGCCATATCCAGGGCCAGGGATGAAATTCTCGGTGCAACAACCAGACTCAACTCTGATCCACCGCCTAACAATACCTCGGTTACGCCGCCGGATAACGAAATCCGTACTTGGCCTAGTACCCATGGAGGCCAGGGATGCTTCCCGCCGATGTCGAGTGCTGAGAACATTTTACAGTGGGATGTTTTGCGGAATCAGCTTCCGAGCTCAGCTCAATCCCCAATCATCACCACGAACTCATATGAGCCTGACAGGTCCATCAACTCCAAGGCTAGTGCCGATACGTCCTGTGCCGGACTCCGAGCGCTGCAACAAAGTTTCGAGACTCAGTTCCTGGCTCGGTATCCCATTATCAGCAGGCCTTGGCTGACTCGCTGCGTCCGTAATGTAGCAGAGAGCGACGGAGAATGGAGTGCTGAAGCATGTCTCGTGTTTCTGGTTTGCGCTATTGCATCCTTTTACGACTGCCCTGCTCACGAAGCCTTGACACCTCAAGCCACCTCTATCAGCTCAGTGTCTGCCGCCTCAGGCTCATACATGCCCAAGTCGCGCCGGCCTACATACCAATATTGGACCATGGCAAATCGGAGACTCGGCTGGGCCCTTGACGAGCCTGCGGGTCTACTCGCCGCCCCATGTTTATGTCTAGCTGGGTTTTGGCATCTGCTGAACTTCGCGCCACGAAAGGCTCGTAATATGTTTTATCGTGCTATTGATAGTATGAGAGATATGACCTCTTCAAGCTTGTCAGATACTGAGAGGCCTCTGGCACGATTTATGCAGATCATTTGTGCCGACCTACTCGAGTAGGTGTATAGTTCTTTACTTACTATATCTTGATGCATAGTCATGATACTGACCTATCTGTTACAGACGCTTAAACTTTGAATCAGCTCTTTTACCATATAACGGTCGGACAATTGCTACTAACGAAGCATTTTCACTAAACGAAAGCCATGATCTCTCTGTTGCTATCGGTCTTCACACGGACGACTTGGCAAGAGGCTCATCTTTTGTGCTCACAAATAATCTACAGCAGTTGCACTCAATTCGAAAAGACACCAACAGACTCTTGGCTTCTATATCAACAATTTCCAGTTGGCTTGGCCTACATTCGTTGCTTTGCCAAGCAAAGGATTTGCGATGGCGTCTCAACCAACTCACAGACCCAAGGAACATCATCTACGGTGAAGCTTCAAGCTCGACTAGACTTGGTCATTTACTCGGTGAGACGATCTTTGACCATGTAAAGATGAAGAAGAAGGATCTCACGGCACGGTTACTACGCGTTTATTTATGCTTGAGCCTGCATCTTTCGCCTCACATAATACAGAAGTTAGATTCCGACGCCAATCCTCCAAGTATCCAGTCACCCCAGCACATCTTACAAGAGATAGCAAGGCTTGGAGATGAGTGTCTCTCGGTAATAGCTGAGGTAATGGCCTCGTATCTCAAGGAGTGGCAAGGGAGAGAGTCGCTATCGAACCGTGGTGCCGCATCCAGCAATCCAACCTGCCATGATCCCGAAGCAGTGTTCTCGTACCGTTTTTCGTACGTAGGTTGCCTGACGCTCCTTGCAGTGTATTACGCCAAAGCAAACGCAGCCCGTGGGGAGATGGACTTTGCTCATTGCCATTCCCTGAAGCTGCCTGCAGACTGGCGTTACTTGGTTGCTGGTCATACTAAAATGTTACTATTGCACAACGAAGGGACCGATACATATAAATGCGGATATTTGCTCAGCCAGTTTGATATAGGATCATAAAACCTTCTCTGTTCCTTCAAATATCATCCATGGCCAAAACACCAGTCTCATGACCAGTTTCAAGCGGTGGTGATTCCAAGCGCCCAATCCACTCAAGATATATCCTCGCATCTGCACTCTCAGCACTCCAATACGTGAGTGCAACCTTGAACTTCTGCATACCCGGCTCCTAGACTGGAAGGCAGTCTAGACCCAGGATGCCACTCTTTGCTGTAGCTATAATCTCCAACGCCGCACATGCACAGTAACGAATACCGAGCCAGGCCCCGGGGTGGCGATGCGAAGCGAGATGTCGGTCAAGTAGTACATCCAACTCTGCTCATGCTGTGCGGCTGATGAATCAGAACTGGCACCTATGCCGGAAGGGGATGACCACGAAGGTTCTAAGTCCGGGAGAAGCGATGGCATGTTCTCATACTGGATAAGCTGAGCGTTGGCAATCTCAAGCCCCAATTCAGAGGCAACTTCTCTATTCAAGCGATCATCAGCATGTGGGCCTCAGTTGGGCGCTATTCAAGAATGGGTTCTAACCTTTCAGTCTTGAGACAACTCCAGAAGAGTTTACGATGTGCATTATCTGGCTTCTTCTTCGTCCTCCCAAAAGCGGCCTGTGTCACGGCTGGTCCGCCAAAGGTCTTGGCCAATACGTCTTTGCACTTGACACTCGCATTGTTTAAACATCTCCATGAGGCGAGCGGATTGAATGTCGTCACGTAGTACACAGCAGCCAAGAAGAAACACTGTGCACCAACGATGCTAGCATGACCCATAACGAAACCAAGTCTTTTAAGGCCAGCATCGAAGTACTCGTGGCTACGTAGGTACTGCTCCGTATGTATTGACGGCATGGAGTACTCTTCTAGCTTGCTGTGGTCATATGGCGTGCAAATACATCCTAAGGCACAAGCCATTAACTATCATGATAGTCAGCTAAAATTCACTATAGAGGCGCTTGGGGATTGCAGTAGCTACCAGTAGACATGTAGGTGCATCCCAACCAAGCCCCTCCTCCTCTACTATGGATATCTGCTGGTACAGAACCCCGAGGTCGACCAGGGGTTGCTTGCGTGAATGTATTTGATGAACTTTTCGAGAAGCTGCGTCATTTCGGCTCGATCATCGATTCCCCCACGAGGAAGCGGGAGATGAGCCGGCAAATGGACTGAAGCATAGTGAGGGTCCACACTCAGCCTGACAGCTTCAAAATCATCACCACTGTCAATGACCGAGGTCAGAGGGGTCTCCAAGAGGTAATAGGGGCGAAGACTGGGCCATGTAAGTGTAGATTCAACACATGAGGACCACCATGACCGAGCGGGTGGGGAAGTCATGGATGCCCCAGAAGCTAATCGGCAACGGGGTGGTAGTGTTTGAGTTGCTGAGCAATCCTTAGTTACAGTGGCTAATCCTTGGAAAAGGATTGCCTGTCTTAATTTGGGAGCAGACAGCTACTATAGTCAGCTAAGGGGCTCATGTTTAATAACCACGATCCAGGCCCACCCAGGGCCGTAAGTGATTTCACTTAGCCTAACTAGTACTAGAGGCATTGTGGAGCGCGTCATGATTAAGTATTGCCCGGGTTACCTACTGCCGAATGGCAAAACGTCGGGGCTTGTCCCCGTCAAGTTCGTCATCACTACCCTAGACCATAAAAGTGAAACCTATCCCTCCAAGCCAAGTATCAAGTGTAACAGTTATCAGATCAGGAATTACAACGAATTTGGAAATAATGGCTCGCATAAAGGTCATTAACTTGCGTGTTGAGAATTACCAAGAATTTTCAGTTATCAACGAGGAGAGGCCTCGCATTTCTTGGTCATTTGAAGGTCTTGAAAAAAGATGGGGACAACATGCTTATGAGATTTCCTTGTGTTGTGATCATCCCAGCAAGACCAAAACGTACTTGGTCGTATCCTCACAGTCACTTTATATACCATGGCCATTCCGACGGCTAGAATCGCGAGAGCTCGTAACACTTCAAGTTCGGGCGCAGTCCCAAGATTTGGCGTGGACGTCGTGGTCGGCTCCTCTGCACATCGAGGTTGGATTGCTCAAAAGCACCGACTGGCACTGCACCTTGATTCAACCCTCAACTGACCGGGACTTGTCCAAGTCAGTTCAACCCGTGCGCTTTAGAGAAGAATTTCACCTCAAAGAGGCGCCGCAACAGGCTCGGTTGTACATCACCGCACACGGTCTGTATGAGAGCTTCGTCAACGGGACCAGGATCGGAGACCACGTGCTCGCGCCTGGCTGGACATCTTACGACCATCAATTGTCACACCAGACCTTTGATATCCTAGCACAGCTAAAGAGTGGAGAAAATGTCATCGCCGCCGAGGTTGCTGAGGGCTGGTATTGTGGCAGGCTGGGCTTTGGAGGCGGGGAGAGGAATATCTGGGGCGCTTCAATCGGCCTGTTTGCTCAGATTCTCATCACATATAACGACGGAAGCACAGAGGTTGTTGGGATAGACAGTAGCTGGAAATGGAGCAACGACCCCTTGCTTCAAGCCGAGATTTACGATGGTGAATTATACGATTCAAGACTGGAAGACCCTGGATGGAACGAGCCTCGTTTCACGTTCCATGGATTTCGCTACGTGCAGATCACTGGCTACGACTTTGATGAGGTCGACCTGAACAACTTCCACGCTGTCGTCATTCACACAGACATGCTCCGAACTGGATGGTTTGAGTGTTCGGATGACACGTTGAACAAGCTGCATGAGAATGTAGTTTGGTCTATGAGGGGGAACTTCATCTCAGTTCCTACAGACTGTCCCCAAAGAGATGAGCGCCTTGGATGGACTGGGGATCTACAAGCGTTTGCCCCAACTGCAGCATATCTCTAAGTTTTCTTGTCTCAACCTAACCATTACAGCACCGGTGTTGGCTTTGGAGTCTGGGAGTACCCAAAGAGTACATGTCATGGTATATGTCCATGGTGGAGGCTTTACAGTTGGTGCGCATTATGGTGGCCCTAATGGTAACTCAACTCTTTTCCCGTTGAGCTTCACGAGACACTAATTTACATCAAACTCACAGATACAACGAGAATGGTGACTCAAGCATGTGAGGACTCAAAGCCCATCATCGTGGTTAGCATCCAGTAAGCAAATATCCCCTCCACATACACAACGACTGAGTACTGACTGTGTCAAGCTATCGACTTCATTTCCTGGGATTCCTAGCGTGTCAAGTAAGTAGCACCCTACATGTGACATATACTGGAACCCACTCTGACAATCTTCAGGATCTCGTCGACGAAGCCGCAAAGCTCAACAAAGACCCCTGCAACTTTGCATTATACGACCAACGTCTTGCCTTCCAATGGGTCCAAAAGTTCATTTCGGGGTTTGGCGGCGACATCAACAGGATCACCGCATTCGGTGAAAGCGCTGGCAGTTCCTCACTTGCCTTCCACCTGACCTCCAACGTCCCCCTCTTCGATCGAGCCATTCTTCAATCCGGGACGGCCTCTGCAATCAGTCCTAAGGCCATCGCGACCAAGGAAGAGGAGTGCAAGGAACTACTTAGCTTCTGTGGGATCAATCATCAGTCGGGATGATCCTCAGCGCCTCGAGAAGCTCAGAGCTGTGCCAACCGCCAAGATTGTCGAGGCAGCCTCGTCTATCAATAAGGCAGCCTTTTCACCACTGGCCGACAAAAGCTTCTTTCCAATTATTCCCAATTACCTCAGCCATGCAAAGATGATATCTGAATGCTCTTGGGTAAATGCTGTCATCACGGGTGATACAGTCTTTGAGGTGAGTGAAGCGAGTGTCTTCTATTTATCATGCTTCTGACAGAGCATAGGGCTATCTATTTGCGCACAACCTTATGGACGTGCGGCCTGAGGTCTTTTACCAACAGGTGGAAGATGCCCTTGGAGCAGAGAATGCAAAGAGAGTGTTACAGGTATATGAAATATCCAGATCCATGGATCAGAACTTGTTCTGGACCAGGTTATTTATGTGGTGATGTGATGTTCTCCTGTAAGATAGTCTTCCATTCAGCTCATCAGTTTCATCAATACTAACAAGAAACTCAAACAGTACCTTGCCACATTCTATCAAAAGAGTTATGGCAGAGTGGCAAGAAACAATATCGCTGCATTCTCTCCCTGCGTAATCCCTTCCCCGGTTCCTTCTACTCCAACATCCTTGGCCACCATTTCATCGAACTTATCTACCAATTCATGACCTTCATGGAGCGCTTACCTCTCCAGAGGCAGCGCGATGTCTGCGTCGGTTTTGTGCGACGATGGACGGCCTTTGCCCATGGAGAAGAGCCTTGGTCTGAGTATACATAGGTAGATGAGGCGGTGGCGGTGGCAGATTCCCGTGAGGGCTGGGTCGTGCGATCACGAGTGAAGGATATGGAGGTTTCAGCATATGACGAGCGCGGTCAGCGTCGCTATGAGAACTGGGAAGCATTAGACGAGGTATTTCGATCACTAGGGGATATGGCGCCCGCGGCGGTTGAAGCTCTTAGTTTCCCGACATTAGTAACTTTGGGAAACAAGTAAGTTGATCTGGATGGTATTCGGATACATGAAGGTGAGGGAAGAAGCTAAGTCATTATTTATATATAAGAGAATCACTGATAGTTACACTATGACTAAATAAAGATCATGCTAGCAGTAGATCTTCCTTGCTTGCCTTTGACTAAAGCCAAAACCATTGACTTACTGAAATCAGGAACGCCGAGTTCTTCTGGTCGGGACCTTTGCGCCTCCTTCGTGCTCACCTGTACCTCCCATTTCCCCTGGGCAACCTTGACGTCTTCCAACTCCTCCCCATCAAGGTAAACATGCAACTCGCACAATTCACCCTCTTCAACTGTACCGAAAATTGAAAATTGTCTTTCTCCATTTCCCACCGACGCTGTGACATCCATAGTTAGGTGGGGTGGTGATGAGCCGATGTCCTTCCTCTCTTGGCTACACACAATAACATCTGTCGCCAGCTGAGGGGTTCTCGATGGCTGCTGACGAAGAGAACTTCCCCTTTCAAACGCATAGGCATATCGAAACAGGTTCTTGTCATCATAAGCCTTGGATGCGAAGGTGAGATTGACGGGCATTCCTGTATCAGACATGACTCCCATTGGCACGCTGACAGTCGGTATACCAAACTGACGAATTGCGCAGTTCCCGTTCGAATACAAAACACCATTTAGCCATGCATGCTTTGCAGACTCTTCATTAACATCGGCATCAGCTTTGCCCACATCGGCATTGCAAGGCCATACTACCATGTCTAACTCCAAAGCATCAAGCCAGTCTTCGAAAGCCGACTTGCGCTTCAACTCAAGGTTCCGAAGTGCGGTTCCAAGGTTTGGAACCTCGTAAGTCGGGATACGGCCATTGCTGATGTGGGCAACAACAGCTGTATGTCGCACAAGAGGATCATTGGCGTCGTATCGATCTGGTAGGCAACCAAGAGGATGGGGGAATATGGTTGATGACTCGACTTGAGCAAGGCTGGTTGCCACATTGCAATCTTTGTTTGCTGCCAGGAAGTCGTCCCAAGAATAGGCCATCAATTGGCACATGTCAATCTCGTTGCGGTGAGGCGGTGTTTCCGATCTGCTCTCACCTCTGACAGGTTTCTCAAATTCGGTGACGAGCGGAAAGTCGGTCTCAACAACAGTAGCACCCAGTCCCTCAAGTATCTTCCTAGCCTTTTTCCACAGGTCGATAACACTCTCGCGAGTATAAACGTTTCGTGCATCTGGATCAGAGTCAACGCCACCAATGTACATTTTTGGGACACCGATCCTTTTGCCCTTGAGAGAATTGGCATCAGAGAGATCAAAGAACGTCTTTGGTCGCACAGAATCTACATCGGGGAGCTTGACGAAAGGTTGCTCACGCCAAAAGTCGCAGCTTGTCTTGTCATCCGCTGCAACAATGACATCCAAAAGCGCAAACATGTCTTCAACAGTTCTTGTGTGCGGAACGACAGTGTCGCAGGTGGGGAAAAGCGGCCAATTGCCTCTTATTGATATGAGTCCCCTGGAGGGAGTGTATGCCACCAAGCTATTGTTGGAGGCAGGTGAGCGGCCAGACGAAATGGTTTCCTCACCCATCCCAAAGACACCAAAGCTTGCTGCGGTGGCTGTGGCGGATCCGTTGGATGATCCTGAGGCAAAGGCAGCTGTAAGATAGGCTTCATTGTAGGGCGACTCAGCACGACCATAAACACCTCGCTGCATACCGCCTGCAGCCATAGGGGGCATGTTGGTACGGCCCAAGAACACAGCGCCAGCATCTCTCAGTTTCCCAACAGTGAACGCATCTTCATTTGCGATGAGGTCCTTGAAGGCTGGAGACCCAGCAGCTACCGTCATACCTCGGATCTTGTAAGAGTCTTTGATAGTGCAGGGAATTCCATCCATCAAACCCAGCGTCTTGCCTATGGAGCGACGCTGATCCGATGCTTGAGCAGCATCAAACACATCGAGATTGATAACTGGGATGGCATTGAGTTGAGTGGTTCGGCGATCATACTTGGCGATTCTCAGCAAGTGCTTGGCGGTCAGTTCAACGCTGTTGATATGGCCTTGAGACAGTGCAGATGCCAGGGATGTAATTGAGGCCTCTACAATAGAGAGTTTCTGCAGAGTCAGTACTTGTGTAGCCCTCTTGTAGTGGCAATACAGCTTACAGTAGTCTGGTCGTCGATTGCCATATTGAGCAGGATTTAATTCTTTTGGGGCTGTCTCTGGGGTTGCATAAGAAGTGACAAGGCGGCATTCATTGATCAGAGAAGTTGGTTTAAGTACTGAATCAATATGTCGTAGGTATCTAGCCATGGTGCAGTGCGCGGAAGTTACAGCTGTTGATACCAATGTGCAGCTGTTAAATGAACATAGCTGCACTAAAATTGAGGCCAATTATAATATCAATTAGCAACTGATGAATTACTTACCAGCTGTTAATTACATTTATCAGGATAAGACAGTTTATCTGACTGGAAAGTCTGATGAACTCTTATCGCGCACTGCTGATTCGCTGGCAGGGTTAGACTCTCCTCATGCCTGTCTTATCGTTGAAATCAATGAGCACCTCCATATTGGATATAAGCCCATGACTGCTGTTACAACTAAGTCGACATGTCTGCATTCTAACATCTCATTTGCTTGAAATTTCTCCAAGATGACAGAGTCTTCAGTCTACCACGATGATGTTCCTGGTACCGTTCGTCTCGTTGACATCAACGGGATGAACTCGTCCGGGCCCCACGACTCTCACCACAAGGACATTGTCCTCGTTCCTCGCCCAAGCTCTGATCCGAATGACCCCCTCAATTGGCCCCCTCGTCGAAAACTTTTGGCCGTCAGCATGTCTTATCTTTATGTCCTTGGAACTGGTATAGCAACATCTCTTCAATACTCTGTCCTGGCGGATATCACAAAGGATACCGGCATTTCCACTGCAAATCTCGTCCAGGGAACAGGTGTCATGTTCCTATTCTTTGGCTGGGCTTGCCTGATTTGGCAACCGATCGCTCTAACATATGGAAGGCGTGGGGTATATCTTACTACCATGTTGCTTACGATTCCGATAATGGTTTGGACTGCCTACTCTACGTCTGCTGGGGAATGGTTTGCCCACAGGATCTTAATCGGTATCGTTGTATCTCCAATTGAGTCTTTGTGTGAGGTTACCGTGTTCGATCTTTTCTTCGCCCATAATCGTGGCACCTACATGAGTCTCTACGTGGCCATTCTCTTTGGGTCCAACTTTCTTGCCCCTCTCGTCGCAGGCTGGTTCAACGATGCTTTCGGATGGAGATGGACGATGCATTTTGGAGCAATTATATGCGCAATTTGCTTCTTAATACTATTCTTCTTTATGGAAGAAACGATGTATTTCCGCGGCGCCTCACTCGAAAGTCAACAAGCTACTGATACCGAGCATCAGGACTTGGGGACGTCCAAGGCCGACGAAAAAGGATATGAAGGATCGCCAAGAAACTCTCTGCCCTCTTCTTCTTCGATCATCTACGAGGATATTAACTCCGGCTGCGGGAAATACACTTGGTTCAAAGCTGTGACGGGTCGACCGAGTAACACAGACATGCTACGAATGGTCTACCGGCCTGTCCTTATGATCTTCCAGTTCCCAACGGTTGCGTGGGCTGGGTTTCTCTATGGAATCAATCTTGCCTGGTATAATGTATTGAATGGAACCGCCAGCCCCGTCTTGTCAAGCAATCCGTACAATTGGAATGCGGCACTGGTTGGTTGTGTATATGTAGGGCCGATCATTGGAGCAGCCGTTGCTTGTCTCTGGGTTGGAAAGGCCGCAGACTGGATCGCTCTGTGGCTAGCACGCCGCCATGGGGGTATCAGGGAGCCCGAGCAACGTCTTTGGGTGCTTCTTCTATCAGGTATCATCTCATCAGCAGGTCTCATCACATGGGGTGTTGGTGCATACTATCACGTTCACTGGATCGGCCTCGTGTTTGGTCTAGGTATGCTGACGGTTGGATGTGTTGCCGGTGGTGCAATCGCTGTCAGCTACAACGTCGATTGCTTCAAGGAGATCGCAGGTGAAACCACTGTCTCTATTATGTTAATTCGCAATACGATTGGCTTTGGCTTCAGCTATGCTATTACGCCATGGTGGACAACCCAGGGGCTGAAGAACTGCTTTATCACGGCAGCTATGATCTCACTTGCTTGCACACTTACCTTTCTCGTCATGATCGTTTACGGGAAGCGAATTCGACGATGGTCTATTCCATCCTATCGAAGGTATATGGCTAGCATGGCAGTTTCCCATGAATGAGAAAGGTAGCGAGACCCACGGCCAGAAATGACCTGGCCAGGTTTAGAGGAAAGAAGATATTGCCTCGAGACATTTAATTCCGTATCCACTTAGTTTATATAATACATTTTGACAGCTTTCGCAGTTGCTCTCTTGCCTCGGTCGCCGTGGGAATATCTTGTTCCAAATTCCTGACAATATCCTCCAGATACGTAACTAGCCGCCCTACAGCGAGTTGAGATTGATTCTCGTCGTACAGAAATGCATTATATACCATATGGCCAACACCCAGCAGCTGGTGAACAATCTGACTGCTTGCGACTTTGAACATGATAAGAGAGGCTTCGGTGAGCTCATTCAGAAACTCTTCTGCTACTTTGATCACCTCATCAACTGGGGCCTGGCAATGAAGCAGACCCATGATATTTACCAGTGCCTCAGTGCAGGTTATTTGGACTGCCATAAACTTGCAGCGGTTGCTTTGAAGGTCTTCATGTGATTGCGAGAGGACGCGAAGTATAAAAGGTTTGCTGGCTTTGAGTTGATCTAGGCTATCGAGCAATGCCCTTGGGGATGATCGGTCACATAAAACAACAACGACATCGCTGCGGGGCTTTCGTTGGCGAAGATTAAGTATTGCATACTCCATCAGCCGGAAAAGATCAGTGATATAATCCCATCCAGCTGTCCAGGCCTGCGTCTCGCGACTCATAGCAGGTGTGATACGAGGGTAAAGCACCGAGACCTGGGCCTCAGGAAGACGGATTATGTGCCCAAGAACACAAGCTGAATGGATCTCAAGACGATAGACACACCAGAATAGACGCCTTCGATCATCTACCTCTAGTAAAGAGATCGAGCTGTCCCAGTTATTTTCCATATTGAACCCGTGCTGAGCAATCCATGCATGGCATAATCCGAGGTATCTGTGAAGGTCACTCTTATTACCGCTCCTGAGCGAGTACACAGCCAAGAGGCCGAAAGACCTTAGGTAGTCAAGGGCAGGTGCATCTGGAGTGCGTGCTGGAATATTGGATACAGCCTCATTGAAATAGATTTTGGCGTCATGGGAGGCGACGTCGCCCAGCAATGCGCTATCGAATACCGCTTTGAGGGTGAGACTCTGGGCGCTGAGTGCGCACAGTGCCATTAGAAGCAGGTACGCTGTCTCACTGGTTTTAGGCATGCTATGTGCCCACCGTCTTTCCAAGTCATTCTCAGAAAGAAAAGGAAAACTTGGTTCTTTAGCAATAGTCTCAACCAACCAGCTGAAAAGATGACATACTAGCACTGATACATTGTATCCCGGTAGATGCCTATCAAACGGCGAATGCATTGTGGAGACCTGAAATCAGAGGTGTCGTTTTCCGTCTGGTTTTGGTGGATGCTTTTCCCGGCTGGCACGGTTGGCTTCCGGCCTCGTTTCCGAACAGGTCGAGTCATGGTGCATTTGGCCCCATAGTCGATGCATGTAAGACAAGCTCGCTGACCCTCCCTGGACAGTGTCTCGGTTACAGATGATCGACGACACTTGAGGCCTCTGGAGTGACAAAAGTCACAGGCCCGTGAGGCCCGCTGTCTCTGAGTACCTGAAGATCTATATTGCATTGAGTTGATTTGGTTTGATATAATGTTGTAATCAAAAGCGGTAACAAGAAATCATGTTTGACATGAGGGCGAGGCTTAATAAATAGAGTATTTATTAGCTGTTAAAGCTTATCAATTTAGAAGCTGATAAATAACCGTTGATAAGATACTAAGTGGAGTACGTAATAGCCAACCACATTCAGGCAATTATCGAGCCAGTAGAGTCCTTACAACTCCTTGACTTCATCCACTTAGCCAATCAAAGGGCCAAGGCAGGACCATTGCGATTTCCCTAATTGTTAACCAAGCAAGGGTACGGAAATGTCTCCAGATAAACTCTTTAGCTGCTACAGTTCTTACGTCTAGCTACAACTTAAACAAGTGCTTTAGCCTATCTATCTCGGATAATTAAGACTTTTCCTCTGAGCTACTTGTTGCTTTAAAAGCGTAGAGGACGAGCCTAGCAGAACAGTCTAGGAATTAAGTATTTATTTTCTATTTAAAATTTCCTAGCTGCTTTTAATAATTTAAATAAACTTGCTTAACTCTTTATTTAACTTCCAGACCTTGTAATTAAAATTAGGCTAGAACTCTATATATAAAGTTTCCTTTAGCTAGTTAGTCTATAGATAACAGTTTTATATGCATAAACGATAGAGAAAGCTTACCGGATCTTGATTGACCTTGGCTGTATATTTAGCTTCCTTGTTGTCTATATACTTCTTAGGAAGACTAGAGCTCTCTACTAGAAGTTGGATTTTACATGATCGCTCCATTAAGGTAAAAAGATAAGCGGCCTCATTAACAGTCGCTCCGCAAGTAAGGATACCATGGTTTTGTAGGATGGTAACCCGATTAGCGCCCAACGCCTTGGCAATCCTTTCGCTCTTGTCCCTCTTGAGCACGATTCTCCCAAAGCTCTGGTAAATGGCCTAAATGCCTTGAAAAGTACAGGTGTCCTGACTAATAATATCGAGAGGTCGCCCGAAAGTTGCCCATGCCTTGCCATAAGGAGAGTGGGTATGACAAGCGGCGTTGATATCGGGACAAGCCTTATAAATAGCACCGTGGATGCGGAGGCTAGCTATATTAACTGCTGTTCTCCTTCCACTGATAACTTGGCCTTCTTTATTGATCTGGACTATGTTACTAGCTTTAAGCATTCTAAAGTGCTTACTGAAGCTTGCAAATTATTAGATATAGAATCTTTACAACTTGGACAAGAACTTACAGGTTAATCCAGAAAGTGTTACAGTTTACTAGGTTATAAATACTAATATATTTAGCAGTGCTTTTAGTATAGCCCTTATAAGTAAAGATTTAAAAAGCTATAGCTATATAATTAAGCTATTACTATTACTTTTTATAAGGATTATTAAAGTAAAAAATATTAAAAAAAGGGTAACTTTTAATAGTAAAAGCATTTTAGGATTTTTAGCTTTTAGTTTTAATAGTATATTAAACTAAAGCTTATATTAAAGGAAGACTATTAAGTATAAGGGACTATATAGTAATAGTATTAGTAATTATAAATATAGTAGTAATTAAAATTTAAAATTCCTATAGTAATA